CAGCCATGACCTTGGGGCGCAGCCGGGCGGCGTCGGTGGTGCTGAACGTGGGCGGCGCCCGGTACTCGCTGTCCCGGGAGCTGCTGAAGGACTTCCCGCTGCGGCGCGTGAGCCGGCTGCACGGCTGCCGCTCGGAGCGCGACGTGCTCGAGGTGTGCGACGACTACGACCGCGAGCGCAACGAGTACTTCTTCGACCGGCACTCGGAGGCCTTCGGCTTCATCCTGCTCTACGTGCGCGGCCACGGCAAGCTGCGCTTCGCGCCGCGGATGTGCGAGCTCTCCTTCTACAACGAGATGATCTACTGGGGCCTGGAGGGCACGCACCTCGAGTACTGCTGCCAGCGCCGCCTCGACGACCGCATGTCCGACACCTACACCTTCTACTCGGCCGCCGACGAGCCGGGCGCGCTGGGCCGCGACGAGGCGCGAACCGGCGGCGCCGAGGCGGCCCCCTCCAGACGCTGGCTGGAGCGCATGCGGCGCACCTTCGAGGAGCCCACGTCGTCGCTGGCCGCGCAGATCCTGGCCAGCGTGTCGGTGGTGTTCGTGATCGTGTCCATGGTGGTGTTGTGCGCCAGCACGCTGCCGGACTGGCGCGCCGCGGCCGCCGACAACCGCAGCCTGGATGACCGGAGCAGGTACTCCGCCGGCCCTGGGAGGGAGCCCTCCGGGTAGGACGCACTGCCTCTTTGCCTGTCCAGTCCAGTCCGTCCTGTGCACCTGTCCGTCCCGTCTCCGTCCCGTCCGCCTTTGGGCTGGGTTGGTGGCCCCAGACACGTCCAGCTAAGGGATGGTCCCTTTGGGGCCTTACCTCTGTCCCTATTTCCTTGGGTCTGGCTCCTGCCCTCTTTTAACGACCAGGCATCAGGTGGGAACATAGAAATACCCAAATCTCCCATCTTCCTAGTTAACTTTTGAGCCAATAAATAGCCCCGGACTAATTGGAGGTCTCAAAACTTTTACTGTGCTATCCAACACGTTAACCTTGAGTAAGAGCAGTTTGAATTATTTGCTTATTTTGGGTGGTGCTCGAAAAGATGAAGTCTAGTTGTGGTGAAATACACTGCCCACACATTCTATACACTCTGCCCCGGGCATAATATATGCTGTAATGGAGTTGTTAGATTATAAAGGAAATGAACTTCGAGATAGACTCTAAATAATGGATATCGGGGCCCTTTGTTTTCCTATACAGCGTGGTGTTGGCAAAGCATCTGGCCACTATTTGGTACTAAGGAGTCATGCTGTGGGGTTTAGAGGGCTCTTCAGGTTGGGGAGGAAAAACACTGGCATTTGGGGAGACAACATCTAAGCTGTCCAGAACCATCCAGAACCAAACACTACTTGAGTGGTTTATGTTTTCGCTCCATCTTTCCTAAGACCATGTTTACTTGTACTAGTGATTCCTTATTTCTGTTGTTAGGGCTAGTGAGATTATTTTGCAGGAGGAATAAACAGGACAAAACTGGCTTTTTGAAAGCAACAGCTTTTTGGGGGTGGTGGTGGTGGTGAAAGCCAAATTGTATAATTTGCTATTATTATTTTATCTTCACTTGAAACTGCCCTACGATTCTCTTCCATGCATTTTAAAAATTCACAGTTGTGCCTTGTGATCACTTTTTAAAATTCCTGATAGGCATGTGTCCATTGGGTATGGTGCTCTGTACCCCGATATCGCAATAGATTGCTTCCGTGGAATAATTTTCCTTGGGGAGTAAAGGTGTGTTATATCATCTAAGAAGTGAATAAAATTGTCTAGTCCCACGAAGTCTATTTCTGATATGCCATCTTGGAATGAAATCCAAGATATATGCTTTGAAAGGGATTTCATTAGGAAACTCATTTTGTGTATTAGGTTCTAAGTGATTTTTCAGTTTACAGATGACAATGACTTAGTTGATACAAAAACAGTACAATAAAATTAATTTATGGATCTAAATACGTAAGTGCTCCAGGCCTCTTTGAGAGGGCCATAGGAAAATGAGCCACAAATGACTGGCCTTGAAAGGATTTAGTAGTAATTGCAGAATTCTAGGCTAGTGACAGTTGGAATTCCATTAGCAAAGGGAAGGGGAAAATTGAATAGCTATTGAGGGGGTTGGTTGAAGCAATAGACAGGCAAAACCCAGTGAAATAAGCTGAATAATAGGTCATTTTTCCCAGGGCCCGGTGGGAGTTTTGTGAGAAAGCAGTGTGGAGATCATTAGTGTAAAAGATAGGAAAGAGGTGAATAGTCATTTTAGGGAAGGAGAGACGGGGAAGAAACCCCCCCAGAGGGAGAGACTGCAAAAGAAGTGACGGAAGAGAAGAGCAATGCTTAATTTGTATATATGTAGTTTATGAAGGTATATAATTATTCAAGTCAAAACTGTTTCCTTAGATACCCAGATATTTCAGGCAAGAGCTTTTTTTCTTCTTCTCCTCCTTAATGGCCCAGATTTAAGCTTCACTTTGTGAGTGGAGGTACATGAAAACCGACCTCTGAAAAACAGTATCTGTAATCCCTAAATGATAAACTAGCGGGTGGCTGTCTGACCAAGGATTCTGGCCGGTACAAGGGAGCCTCTCCCAGGCCCCTTTCAACAGAGAAGGTCCTCGCAAAGGCAGGTGGAGCTGGGCTTTTTTCTGCTGCAGTCTTTCAAACAAGCCCTGCCTGTTGGAGGTGATTGACATGAGTCTTTCGAAAACATCACTTTGAGCATTTACTACTTTGTTGGGCTTCAAGGCTCTTTGCAGTTTGCACCACCACCTGCCAATCTTGACATCTCCTGTCATCATTTACAAGCATCATTTATATATCAGCTGATCATTTACAAGCATCGTTTATATATCAAGGCACTATTGAGGGTCCAGTATTGTAAGAATTTTTTTCATATAAAAAAGGTCTCAGGTGGGTCGTTTGGAGGTGCAGCCGATCACTGAGAGGTGACTTTGAGGTGCTGTTGGAAGGCCTTTGAGGTGGGGGAGGATACAAAAGAGGCCTCCTTGACAGGGTGTCCTGCCCAACACTGATGCATGCTGGTGCTATTTATGTATCAACAATCATGCACTCCTATCGGAGGGTAGGGAAGTAGTCACGAAGTCAGCTGACATGTTGTGTTGGACAAGTCTGCTGCCAAAGATCTTTTTAAGGTGTTCAAAAGCAAAGATGTCACTCTGAGGACTAGCTGCCTGCTAAAATGGCAGGGGGGCCGGTAGCGGACCTCTTCTGGCTATACAAGGGAGAAAGAGAACCCAGCCCAAAGCTTATTGCCAGGAGGCAGAGGTCAGACACGTGTCCGCCCTCCATCCTCCGTTTGCCCTATTCTGGCACCAACAGTCCCTCCCAAGGCACTCTTCCTGTTCTTTGGGGTTCGATAATCTGTTGCAATGGCCACACCAAACTCACAGCCAGTATTTACAATTCAGGGAGTCCGTTAAGGAAGCGAACAGGTCACCATGAGCCGGGATCGGAAAGCATGAAGGATAAAGTCATTGTTTCACAGCAACATCTCTTCTTAACCAGACTTCTCTCTGGTCCTTTGGCGTCTGTCCTCTGGGGACCAGGAAGCCAGTCTGCCGCTCTGCCTCACATTGCTAAATTCTGGGTGCTGCTCTTCTGTTCTGTCTTATGATCTCCTTGCTCAGCGTCTGAGATCTGTCTGGCTCTGCCCTATCCCGTGGCCTCTATGCCACGGCCACTGGTGCCTCTGGTCGCAGCCTCTGCCATTTGGGACACAGATCTCACCCGGTTCCAGCGCAGGCTTTTCTTTCTTGATGGTCCTGGGATTTCTCTCGCTCCTGCTTTTGAGATGACGCATCCTGATAGCCAGGGAAGTGGCAACTAAAACTGACCAATCCCCTCTATTACTGTTATGCATACCCGGTGTGCACGATCCCACTCAATCATTTGGTAGGAGTTACAGAGGCCGGGGTAGAAGAGCCATATTGAGAAACCTCATTTTGCCACACTGTGCCGAACCCCAGCCAGGATGTTTTCAGGCACCTCAAATGCATGTGAAAGCTAGACAATAAATAAGGAAGATCCACTGGTACAGATAGGAACTGGAAATACAGGGAATCCAGGGCGGATGAGCCCTACAGGACCAGTGGTGTGAGTGGCGATAC